GATCTGATGATATGACTGCAGTTCCCCGACATTCCCCTTGTTTTTTTTCCGAGCATGCCAAATAGCCCGGGTTAGTTTTATGAATATTTAATTTAAATCGTAGCCATAATTTTAAGTATTATTTTATTTATTTGATGTTTTAAAAAATACTTTAGACGGAATGGTTGGCGATAATGCCATTATAGAAATTAAATGTCCATATGCTGCAAAGGATACTTCAGATAAGTATGAAGCAGTGTCAACTGGCAAAGTAGGTTTATTTAAATAATTATAAAATATATAATTGCTGCTTTAATTATCATTTTGTTCAAACCTTATATTTCGTCATGAAAATAATACTTTCTTATTTTTTTTATGTACTTATAGCTGAAATATTGTTTTATCGATAACGATGAATTGTCGTTAAATAAACATCATATTTATTTTTATCAAATACAAGGACAACTTCATATTACAGAAAAAAAATATTGTTTCTTTGTAATATGGACGGGAAAATGGACGTCCGTTCAAAAAATAAAATATGATGCTGACTTCTGGGATACAATCATGTGTGATAAGTTAAAAACGTAAGAATAACTGTATAATTTGAAAAAAATATTAACAATTTTAGTAACACATTTTTAAATTTGTTTAATATAGGTTTTATCTCACATGTATGCTGCCTGAAATTGTGGATCCAGTATATAAATATAGGCTAATGGTTTCCGATATAAGGGAATCAAAGAAAATTTTGCAGCAAATGAAAATTTCCAAAAAACTTTTTTAAATAATCTATTTTTACATAATAAATTATGTTTATAACCTATTTATGTACTTATATACAACATTTATATTTCCGACAAACTAATACTCAAAAACTCAAATAATATTATAAGTAAGGTATTTAATTGTCCAAATCATAAATTCTGTATGTATACCTAATTTTTATATTTACTCGGAAGTGAAAAAAAACTCGAAGTTGGGTCGAGGTAGAATAATGTCGTGGCATTAATTAAATCAGCTTTCGTATTTTGGAATACCCTAACTTAACCTAACCTAACCAACTGCTTCCTCCGTCCAGTTTATCGGCGTCTTATCGTTCTTTTTTCCGTTCTTCATGTACTCGTTTAACACTGCTTGCGTGTCGGCTGCTTTTGGTATGCAGCGGCGATAAAAATTGAGCATCGCCAAAAAACACCTGAGCTCCTGCACTGTTTTCGGCCGTGGAAATTCGTCGATCGCCTTAAATTTGTCCGGATTTGGCTTCAGTCCTGTGTCTGAAAAATAGTATTTATTTTTGACCGAACACACATTTATTCGGATTAATCACGACTCCGCTGTCATCAAGCGTTTTAAATAATATTTCGAGATGCTTCATATGCTAATCTTCCGAAGTCGACGAAATTAATACATCGTCCAAATATGCTTCACAGAATTCTAGGTCTCTAATAACGCCGTGAATAAACCGTTGAAATATCTGCGCAGCGTTTTTTAACCCGAAAGGCATAAACATAAACTCGTACAGACCGAAAGGTGTAGTAATAGCCGTTTTCGGTATGTCGACCGGCTCGACCGGTATTTCGTCAGATCAATTTTTGAAAACCATTTTTTACCACTAAGACGTTGCGTTATGTCCTGTAAGTGTTTTATAGGATACCTGTCCGGCAACGTTACTGCATTTACGCGCCGATAATCACCACAAGGCCTCCACCTCCCGTCGCTTTTTTTTACCATCTGTAACGGGCTAGCCCACTGACTTTTGGAAGGGCGGCAGATTCCCTGTTCCATCATCAAAGTGAATTCCTTTTTTGCTATTACCAAGCGGTCCGGTGGTAGACGTCTTGGGCGTGAAAAAAGTGGTGGACCTTGGGTGATAATGTGATGCGTTACCGTATGCTTAGTTTTTGTACCAAATTCTCGAACTAAGCGGGGGTATTTCTTAAGGAGTAGATTATATTTAGAATTATCTTTGACAACGCTGATACCCGATGACGGTACGTTCGTCACTCTACCGACGATCGATAACTTTGTAATTTCATCAACTAAACGTGCATTTCTTATGTCGACCATTAATCCGAAAAAATGTAAAAGGTCGGCTCCAATTATAGGTTTTATCCACCGCGTTGATGACGAAAGACCACTTAAATGCGAGTCGTAAACCTACGTCTAATGAAATTATTTTTCCACCGTACGTGTTAATTGTCGACCCGTTCGCGGCGAATTACGTAAAATTGTTATCGTGTTATATGGACCGTTTGTGGTGTGGGCTCGCCGGCCATACCGAAAAATCCGCACCAGTATCGACCAAAAACGTAATTTTAGATTTTTTATCAACGACAAAAAGACGACGGGACATAAATTTTCTGCCGTTTGTCGTCACAACAGCAGAACAATTTAGTTTTCCGAACTCGATTCAAATTTATATTTGTTTAATTATTCAAGTAGAGTAAAGTATACACTGCACAATAGATATTACGATTAAAGTTCATTAAAATTGTTTTTATAATTTAGGAAATTAGAAAAACGTTGTCACTGTTGAATGTAATCCACATACTAATTGAAAAAAATAGATTAATCGTTTTTAATATTTTTTTTCACATTAACTTATAACTTATAGAGTTAATTTATGATTTGTTAACAGTTAACTTCTAACTTTTCGATTTTGTTTTCTCTTAACTGACCTTGATTTAATTATTTTCATTAACTTGCACACCTTTGAAATGTAGGTACTATTCAATATCCAATCCATTAATTTTGAGTCCTTAACATACTAAAAGTTATATGTTTATTTAGATATTGTAAATCATGATCACGATTACTGTAGAATTCAAGATGAAGCTGGTAAGTTGATTGTATTGAATCATACCCAATAATAACTGTGTACTTGTAAGGTATGTACTCAATTGTTTATCTGTATATATGATAGTAGAACCTCAAGAACAAGTACTGTCTGTTCTTCCTATACCCAATGTCAAGCCACATTGTTACACCATAGTTCCTGGTACACAAAGGAACACAGAAATAATTTGTGATAATTTGGGTAATATGTACTACAAAAAAAAAAGTACTGAAAATAAAATGTGAGATTAAAATACATTTAAATAAAACTATTAATTTAAAGTTACTGAGTACCTTATGACTTATGATTGTAACTGTTTAGCTATTTGGCATGCTTGGAAAAAAAACAAGGGGAATGTCGGGGAACTGCAGTCATATCATCAGATCGAAATAACAAAAGTATTAAGTTGTCAAACCAACATAATCATCCAGTAAAATCTTACGACTTGGATGTTCCATTCCTTCGACAACATATAACAGAAATGGCTTTGAAAAAAACTGTTAATTCATATGTGCCTCGTGGTATATACATGGAATCGATTGTGAAGTTGGTATTCATATTTATCTTTGTCTAAAAAATAAAACAAATATTAGTAATTTTATATTAGGTTTTATGATTAACAATTTAGGTAACCTATTACGCCTACCTTTCTGATATAATGTTCTTATCCTATTTTTTTACTCAATAGTTTTCCAGAAGCTGCAAATAATTATACCTTCATTCAGTGTGCAGAAAGAATGAGGCGATTGCGACAAGGAATGTTCCCAGCAACACCTCAAAATATTTTAGAGTTCCACAATTTACTAGGCAATGCTGAAAACCAAATGTTTACACTAACATTACAAAAATTACAGTAAAATACAATTTTATTATAAATTTAAATTGAATAAATTAAATCTATTTAATAATAACCTATGCATAGATTTTATCAAGGCCCATTGGTTGTGAATGGAGTTATTAAAGGTGTCCTGTTTTGCAACATAGCCCATATACAGAAAATCAAACAACATTTAAGAAATGTATGTAAACGCAATATAAATTACTTTGTGTACAATTCTGTCTATCATTTTTAGGTCCGTGTAGCTGGTTGTGACGGGACATTCAAAACTGTACCAAAATTTTTGGATAATGATGCTTATCAGATATTTTCATTCCATATCCTGTTCAAAAATGTTGTAAGTTTGTTAATATTTATTCAATTATTATACAATAATCCAGTTTAATAATATACATACTATTTTTGTTTTATAGAGCTTCCCACTAGTTCATGCTATCCTCACGGGCAAAACACAGGATATCTATATACAACTTCTGGGGTATGTCAGAAGTGTGTTACCATTAAATTATGCAAATTTAATCATAATAACAGATTATGAGTATGGTCTAATTAATGCTGCAAAAATAGTATTTCCGGAGAGTAAAACCCAAGGATGTTATTTTCATTTTTGCCAGGTAAATAGTAGCTTCCTTTTTGTTGAATCTGAAAAAATGTATTATTAATAATAAGTAATATTTATAGGCAGTCATACGGTACACTAGAGTTAAAAAATCTCAAATTTTTCATTTAATAACATCAAATTTGAATGCAATTTGTATACTAAGAATGGTACCTAAATAATTAATAATACTAAATATAAATGAAATAATTAAATTATTTATTTATTTTTATGCATAGATTTTAGCTTTGCCATACTTACCGGCCACAAGAATTGATGCTTTACCATCAATGGAAGATGGTTTCAATGAAATTATTAAATATGTTCACCAATTCCCTGATTTAGCTGTGAAACTAAATGATTTTTTAATTGAGTATATTTGGAGATATTGGTTTCTGACGATGAGCCCTGAAAATGTCTCAGTATATAATCAAGAAATAAGGACAAATAACTACATTGAGAGTTATCATGCTTCATTGTTAAGACTAATTAAACCACATCCCAAAGTTTGGGAATTCCTCAGTATGGTTTAAGATCAAATTGTTCATAATTGTTTCATAAGTGTCAACTAATCTTTATGTTATAATAATTGTGTTGGAAAGAGTAATTCAAATTTAAATGTTTTATGTTTTTTGTTACAGGAAAGGAGAAATAGTTATAAGTACTCAAAACTTTAACCTATACAGTTTAAAAATTATTTTTACATATTTTCAATATTTAGAGGATGTCACACCCGCATGTGTTGTCCCCGTCTTACACATGTACAATAAAGAAAATTTTTGTTCACCAGTTTCAATAGTGTGCTATTAANCCCCCCGAGGTCTATGTATATAATATTTTTTATAGGTTACTTATAAAAATATAAATAATAATGGCGATTTTTTTTTAAAGCCTAAAAATATAATATGAAGGCCCACTATACCCAGTGACCAGTGTATTGTTATTTAAATATAACTATACACACCTTTAGTGTTCTTTTTTTATTATAAATATTAATTAAAGCTTTTGTAATAATATATGGTTCTAAAAAAAATATTGCATAACAAAAAAATTGTATGCATCTATATTATATTTAAACATTTAATTATATAAAAAAAATCTGAATACTGAGTCCTGATTTAGTTGTTTTGTAATAATACTGAATTGAAAATTTTCTAGCAACACCACTACCATCTTTAGTGTATGGAAAATCAATGTTAGGTCTGCATGGACCATATTGTAAAATAACACGTTTCAAATCACTACTCTTAATGGTTTCTTCGAAATAGCCTCGGTCGGTAGGATATAATTTGGTTAAATCAAACCCTGTTTAAATATATAAAAAAATTTTTTTATAAATATGTTTATGAAATTATAATCATAATTAATTATGAAATAAATTGATAATAAAAATTGTTTACATGAACTATAATTTTTAAATTAAGTTTTAATGGTAGGTACTTCATGTCTTCATACCTAATCCCCACTCACAATTCACTGGGGTATTGTATTATCATTAGCAAAATATTATCACATACACAAAAAAAAAATGTCAATAGTTAATAAATTTCAATTACCTGAAGAACATTTTGAAAGACGGTTAGGACTTTCCACAGTATCCAAAATTGATTCTGTCACTAAATTACCAGTACATTCACTAACAGTTTTATCAGAATCATCTTCAATAGGAGTACCTAAAATAATAAAATAATAAAATGCATAAAATAATTTTTAAAACATTATATCTTGTAATTTCTAAGTCAAATATCAATACATTTCAATTACCTGAAGAACATTTTGAGAAACAGTTAGGACTTTCTACAGTACTATTCAAAATTGATTCTGTCACTAAATTACCAATACATTCACTTACAGTTTTATCAGAATCATCTTCAAAAGGAGTACCTAAAATAATAAAATGCATAAAATAATTGTTAAAACGTTATATCTTGTAATTTCTAAATCAAATATCAATAAATTTCAATTACCTGAAGAACATTTTGAGAAACAGTTAGAACTTTCTACAGTACTATCCAAAATTGATTCTGTCACTAAATTACCAATACATTCACCAACAGTTTTATCAGAATTATCCTCAATAGGATTAGCTGAAATAATAAAATTCATAGGTAAAATAATTGTTAAAACTTTACACCCAGTGGCGTATTTATATGCAGGCACTATAGGCACGTACCTAAAGCGGCAAATTTTGAGGGGTGGCATATTTTTCAAGGGATTTTTTTTTCGATAATGATGGCATTGTATATTGACTTGGTAAGACTTATATTAAATCGTGTTCTGTTGTAAAATACTCTAATAACTACAACAGCCTACAAGATTATTTTAAATTATTGAAAACAATGGAATTGGTTTAAAATAGAATTCGAATTTATTATTTTTATAGTTTCTTACAGCCGCGTGCCGTCTATTTTGAATATTCACGCCGCGGCGGCGCGGCCAGTGAACGTCTACAGTACATATTTATAACAATTGACAATAATAGTATAATCCAATTTTTTCAACTTGAAAAA